GCGCAAGTCAGTACTCTAGCTCATAGGTAGGTAGACGAAACTACAATAGTGTCTACTACCAGCAGCGTGAAGGAATTTGCAAGATTAATAAAATTGCGGCTCATGGACACGTACACACGAATTCAAAAAACACTAACGCCTATAGCGTGTCTTGCCGCTTTACTACTATCCCTATAATCACTTGACCTGAATAGTACCCAAAAATGGCACTTGAGATTAGCAGCAATGCCTGTGTACTTAACGATTATCTATCATCACTGTCCAGTCCCTCATGTTTGATACAGAATTTTTCGATTTACTCATCTCAGTGGGTAAAACATTGCTTGACGTTATTTTGTACTCCTTTTTTAAACAGCTACTGGAATGGTTGACGAAGAAGCCTTCCGACAGGCCTTTAAGTCAGTCTCCTCACTACCGGTAAGTTCCCCAGTTTTCTTTGAAAGCCTCCCTCCAGATATACTCTAGCAAGGACATGGCTGAATACATGAAAAAAGTCAAGGATTCGCTGTCAGTCAGTTCGGAAGACTGGGAGCGCCGAGTTGATGCGGTGAGTAGTACCTCCATCTCATTGCTTAAAGTGTTTCTGCTTCACGACTTCTGCATGTCACTTCTATGGACAGGAGTATACAGTCAGCGTGACCGATTTCTTGAAATGTTTATGAAACTTCCGAAAGATGTCTTTTTTATTGGCAGGGTCTACCTACGTAGGATTGTAGCGTTACTTTTCACGGAGCATAATCCACAGATATATTCCAGTCACGCCATACTGCCAACCTACCAATGCGGCTATTCAATGCAAAGGTGGCTGGGGTCGCTTAGCGTCAACATGTTAAACATAACTTTTAGTGGAACATTCTAGATGGCGAATTAGACTAATGGGTTTACGTATCTCCTGTTTCGCCCCAGAATCACTTCACTAGTAAGGGGTTATTATCGAGTTACTGCTCCTACACTGCAAATAACGAAGGTTCACTAATTCTATTCCCGGTGCTGTCAAACGCTGAGCTACGGCGTAGGCAGCGTTTTGGAAGTCCGCCTGACAGGTCAATCAGTACCCAATACCAAACCACTCTCGCATTAGGTACCTCTTGATTCCTGCTTTCACAAAAATCAGTCTTCAACGATAGGTCTTAGATCTCCTAGAAGTGAGAGTACCATAAAAGCCGCCTAAACAGGACACGGGAATAGGAACGCCCCACCAACTTAAAGTAGGTGGCCCCCCGATAAATTTCGGGAGGTAAATATTCCTGTGTCTTGATCCTAACACTAGCCCCAACATAAAACAAGACTGTAACACTACTATTACCCCTATCCCTGCCCTGGCAGCATGCGGGCCAAGTATTTTCGGAATCGTTGCACGTTTAAGGGCGACAGGTGTTGTAGGAAGTATTGAATTACAAAAAGTCTATAGTAAATGCTTTAATTGCTAGATTTCAGCAAACAATACCTTGAGAAGCCGGTGGGCCGTTGATTTATTTTTGCGGAAAACGTGAGGGTCACTTTCCTAACTCTTTGGTTTTCTATACTAAGAAACTAAATGCCGGCTCCAGCTGAGACGATTTAGGGTGTATTGCTTGGCAGATAAGCAAAGTACCTCTTTAAGGCCTCGACAAGCCTCCAGCCGATCGCGGGACTTCCTCGAGTACTGTATAGGATTGCCTAGATGACAGTTACACGGCGTACATTGCAGTCAAACCTTTGAAGGTCACAAGCCGCTTCTTTAAGTAAAGTTTGCCAAGTGCTCAACGCCAACCCCGACGCGATCAGGAGGGCGCATGCCCCTTGAACTGCCATCATCTGTGGATTTCTCAATCGTCTTTATGCGCATGTTTTATCAGACGTAACAAACTTCTGTCACCCAATTTGTCATGGTTTTGATGACCACTTATACCTGTTCGGTAGAAGAAGTTCTTTGGGAAAATGTTGTTTATTGAGTGAATTTTCGA